AGTTGTTGCATCATTTCACACTTCTTTAATCTTAAATTCATAAAACATACATTTGAATTAAGTTACATATTCAGTAAGCTCATTTTCAGGTTATTTGTCTTTTATGATTGTAAATTGAATATCTTTGGGTTTCTGGCTGCTGGTCTGACAAAAGAAGCCATTTAAATACATCAACTTGGTTTCTGAGAGCTTGTAATTGCCATGTATTTTACTGTGTTCTAATATTTTGTAGCTAGGTTGTGATTATTATAAATATTGCGATATTCCAACATTCAAATACGTTCAAACGTCTGCCCCCTCCCCTCTTATAGTCATGAAAAGATATGAATAAAAAAAAAACACACACACACACCGCCATCCAAAAGTAATCATTAGCAAATGTAATCATAAAACCATTTAACAACTTGTTACAACTATTAAAGTGTTTAAAGTATTATGGTGTACTGCAATTGTACATGTGGTTTGTCCAAGTGGTGTTGCCATACTCTAGCAGAAGCAGTTGCTTGAGTGTTGTGGGTACAGTCAGTGTCAAACACTGTGCTTTTTCTCTATTTCATTACTTTCAAATGTATTTAAAAGCTGAAAACTAGAAAGTAATATGAGTGTTACGTAGCCTCTATCACTGACCATTATTTTAGTTTTTGTAATGTGTTTGTATGTCATGCGCGTCAAAATTGTCATAGTATAGTATGTCATTAAAAAAGTCAGTGGCCCTCACTGTTCAATCTACCACACAAACAGCGCAGATCCAGACACAGAAATCATCTAATGATGGGGTTTACAGGTGATTCATGAAACGTTCTTTTCTCACCAATCACAGTGTGAGGGCTCATTTATGCTCACTATTACATACAGAAACAGAGACGGACAAAGCCTTCTGTCCGTACTCTGCGTTGTTTTTTTCCGTTCTTGTGTACATTTCCTGAAAGCTTACAGAAATGCACGCAACAGAGCTGTGCCATTGGAGATCGCAAAGGCAGTGTAGCATAGTTCAAGCGAGAGACGACCTTAGGAGACAACAAAGAACTTTAAATTATGGTGAAAAGAAAAGAATCCGTTATATAATGAAAAGAACTCTCCGTCCTCACTGGGATGTATATATAATGGCCACATTAACACTGCCGTCTACAGCACTGCATCCTCCTACAGGTGCAATATTACGACCTCTTCCACTGTTGCCTCATTTGTTGTGTTAAACTGCACCCTCCAGTACAATCTATTGGCTGTATCTATGCCATCATAAAGGACATTTACGTTTGAAGCAGCTATATCTATTTTCACTTGTAATGGTAGGGTGACCATATTTTGATATCCAAAAAAGAGGACACTCAGCCGGCCACGACATAGCCTACTTAAATGATACTCGCAGTTTACTCAAAGATGCCTTATAATTTTAATATATTTAAAGTTTATATGTATGGATAGAAAATTCAGTCATATTACAAAATAATATCTCTCAAATATCCTGCCTCAAAATATTCTCGGTTTAGAGGCCTTGTTCCAAGAGTTCACGTCATGGAGAGGTGTAATACAGCTGAGAAGAGAAACTTCTCTGAGCTCGAACTGGAAACACTCATATCCCAGATCCAATTTAACCAGTATAGTATTTTTTATTGCATTTTATTTGGCTGCCTGAAAAGTGGCATCAAATAAAGAAGCAAAAACACAGTATGGAAAGAAATCACTGCTGCGGTCAACAGGGTTGTAGCAGACAAACTCCAGCTGAGGTTGTAATATTTGATTTATACACCTATGTCATGTACTGACCTATGGCCCACATATACTAATAATATTAGTCTGGATATTATATAATAATAATATTATTGTAATATTGCCCACAAAACCTTATAATTGACCCAGAAGTAGGAGTGTGTGGCCGCGGATATCTGTCTGCTTCTAGTTCCAGCATAACAGGTGGTGGTGGGGACACAGACACACCACCTGTGTCTGAGCCAGACACTGGTGAAAAATTAATCACCAAGGTAACTAGTATTTTAATATTTACAAAGTTTCAGGGTTTATTTATTTCTTTTCAGTAATGTTTAAATGATATAAACATGCTTTGGTTTGTTGGTGTTTAAAAAAATTCAGATGAATCAGAGCCAGGCACCAGTGGTGTTCAGCCTTCAGTCAGTTTGGAGCCAGTCCCAAGCAACTGCGAGCTGTGAACGCATCGTTGTAGGCCTTTACAAAAGGCAATATTTTCGCATAGGATTTACGTTTTATTGACCTCCACACTGGAGGTCTAACGTGGGATTTGATTGTAGCCTCCGCTTAAATCTTCATTGATAAATGCCAAGGTTTGTGTGAAAATGACCACACACCCAGTTTTCTGTTGTGTGCTCATTTTGTAAATGAGGACTACTATGTGTACTTTTTCTGTGAGGCCTTCAATCCTATGCTGGCTCCCTAAAATGGCACTCAGTCATCAAAACTTTGGGAACCCCTCATTGAAAATTATGTTTCAAAATGCTCTAAAATAACCAGTTTAGCTGTTGAGTTTCTAAAAACTTCTCCCGAGACCTCAGAGTGTTGGGTCGGAAAAGATGACGGTTGAAAATGGTCCCCCTCCCAGGGATTATGGCCCTTTCTTGTACATTACATAATAAATCAATTAACAGAGGAACTAAGTAGTGATGCGCCAATCCCACTTTTTCTTTCCTCATAAAATGCCTATAACGAGTACTGATACTGTGCTGTGCCAGTGATCTCTGGTTCCCCACATTTAAAATCTGTAATTTTCACTGTTTGAAACTCTTTGGGATGATTTTATGTACGATAAACACTAAGCTATATATCACTGTAGCAAAAAAAGAGTCAGGCCTTGAGTGAGTGGATATTTTTTATGACATTTACAATGAAAGCGTATTTGTTCCAATCTGTTGATTTCAGTCCAAATAACAAGTCTAAGCAGTTTTAGTAAAACTATTGTTATAGTTAGTCATGCTAGTTTGAAAGTAAGAAATAAGGGATAACAGGAACAAACAAGTTGCATCATAGTCTACAGAGAAAATATGTTTAAGGTCATTGTCAGTAATGAAGCTCTTTGTTTGAGAGCAGTAACTGATCCCTGTGGAGCTGCTCTTTAAACACTGTGGATCCACAGGGAAATAGCTTTGTTCCTTTAAGTGTTTCGTTTACTTGCTTGTCTGCTTATCTTTAGAAAAACAAAAGTTACTGTTGACCCACTGAGAATGAACTTTGGTCATCAGGGTACTCGTCACCTTTCAGAGGCAACTTCAGTTGTGAAGAAATTCTCACTATTAAAGTCCCACAAAGAAAAGTTTAGTAGAAAGTTTTGAGTTCCATACAGTTGATAAAACTCTGTTTTTAAACCCACCTTTTATTCATTTTTTGAACGCTCCCCTCATAGGCAGATCATGTTAGTGACATAAGTACACTTTAGAGTACAAGGATATATTTTGTCCACCTGTACTAGAGATTCCATGGACTTGAGAAATTAATTGCACTACTGAAGGAATAAAGACGAGATTTATCCCTGATAACACTTTGTTATGCAACTATCCCACACATTGTAATGACTCAACTCTTTGTGCTTTATGGGTATAGATAGATTAGTGAACAGGCCCACTGGTCCAGGGGGTCAGGGGCCCCTGGACCGGCTGCTTTTGCTGCTTTGTCTTTTCTCCTGATCCAGATCAGAGTCTTGTAATATCAAGTATCTGCCAACCAAAGTAAATCCAATATTTGTTTTTGATAAAGTTTATTTTACGCATTCAAAATTCCAAAATAGATTTCAAATGTTTTCCTGAAAGGTCCAACGTGTAAGAGTTAGAGAGCTTTACTGGTCCCTAGTGGTGAAAATTGCTGATTGCAGTTTAACTTCCTTGGAGTTGCTTCAGTTTACATTGTTCAGGAGGTTTTCAGCAGGAGCCAAATAATCCGCAGTGGTTTCTTACTTGCTTGTCTGCTTATCTTTAGAAAAACAAAAGTTACTGTTGACCCACTGAGAATGAACTTTGGTCATCAGGGTACTCGTCACCTTTCAGAGGCAACTTCAGTTGTGAAGAAATTCTCACTATTAAAGTTTACCCCACAAAACAAAGAGACCAGGTGATTTAAACTGGTAAAAACACTGTATAAAGCAGTTTCATGTTACAAATCATTGTTTCTCCTACTCTGTTGGGCATGTCAGAGACAGGCCACTAGCCCAGCACCTGTGCAATCTGTGTTCACCTTTTGTCTCTGATAACCAGTAGTTCAGGAGGTTTTTACCTTTTAGAGGAATTATCTGCAGAGGTCTCAAACAGGCCAGGTGATTTAAACCTAATGAAGCAGTTTAATGTCACTAAAAAAATCTGTTTTTCTGATGCTGCTTATACACCAAAGAAAACATACTTGTAATATTATATGCAGTTTCTGCCAGTATAACTGGCATAAATGTGAACAGTACCCAACCCTATCAGTGCACAGCAGATATTGTCTGCAGGCAAACATACAGTTCAACATTTATAGAAAAGGTTTCCAGTAGGGAATGAATGAATAATTAATAAATATTTATGTGGGATTAAATGGAGCTTTTCATTTAGGAACATTTTCAAGTTAAATAGTTCTTTACAGGAAACTTTAAATTATTAAACTGTCACAGACCTGTAAATCAAGTGTTACCTTCTGTTCAGTTATTTAGTCTTTCATGTTACAGCTGCAGAGCACACTGAGCAACATTTCATTGACATACAGTGACATGAGTAAAGCAGTTCAAATCAGTTTGACAGCAGGACATCTCTGCTCTAAGAAAACAGAACCTGCTTCTCGCGCTCTTTTGATTTTTTTCCTTTAATATTTTCTGTCATTTGCTGTCGTATTTGTATAATCTTCATCTCCACTGAACTAAGTACTGATGTTAAGATGCAGTTTTTCAACCCGAGAGTTCTTGTTCACCTGCAAAATGTCACAGAAAGAGAAACAACACGTCTACGAACACATTTTCTTAATAAGACACCAAATTCTGAACAGAAACAGAAACTGGAAATATAAAATACGTTACTCAAAAGTGAAAAGTTCACTCTTTTATTGCCTTCTGTGCTGTAATACAGGGATCCATCAGAAAAGTAAAAAAAGGTAAAGCTATTGGAAAATATACAAAAACATAGAGACATTCAAATATAAAAGGGTATATTTTTATACAAAACTACAAGAGTGAGATGATCTACCAAAGTTAATTTACATACAGCGCCCTGTGAGGCCTCCCTGTTAGTCTAATGTGACTGGATTATAACAGACTGCTCAGACACTGCTGATGATGTGATGGACCACTTTAGGGCAAAGAGAAAAATATCAAACACTTTTTTATTTCTAATACTCAGACATGTTAAGGGCACTGTAAGACAAAATTTAGAAAGTGCACAGTAGAGAATGAATTTGATTTTTAAAAGGTAAGGCCATATTTGTTCTAACTAAAAAAATACTGAGTCCTGTCACAATTGGTTCATCACATTTTCTCAGACCACAGCTTTATGAACGACACTTCAGACTTTATAACGTCCCTTTTTGTTTTAAATCCAAACCGCTTTTCTCTTTGAAACTGTCAGACCTGTGATCGAACAAGTAATGACTTTGTATGAAAATGACTCGAGCCAATTTGAAATTGGGAGTGGTAACAACACTTCATTTTTATAACTCCTTTTTTAATTTAAATTTGCTATTCTACTGTGGTAGAAAAAAACAATCTGCTATAAATACATCATAATAAAACTTAACAAACCGTACAAAACAGATCAAGTATAAACAGGGCACTGACAGACGGAGGGTGTGTGTGTGTGTGTGTGTGTGTGTGTGTGTGTGTGTGTGTGTGTGTGTGTGAATGACACAGTCTGTGATGAACATTTTTCACTGAATAATATTTTGTGCTTCCATCTAATATCTACAGTACACTGATTACATCTAGTTTACAAAGATAGCCTACAAACCCGTGTGTGTGTGTGTGTGTGTGTGTGTGTGTGTGTGTGTGTGTGCGACTGTTATAACATGTGTTACATGATGACTATCAGTAACAAATGTTAAACAGTCTTGAATTCATCCTTAATGTAGGTACACCGAAAACACAGATGTTCTGGGGAATCTTGGAAATGTAATATCCATCTGTTTTATGAAAGCATTTGTTTTTCATCTTAACAGCTGGTTCTCTTGGTGACGTGTGGGAAAGTTTCTGTTGTTTTTTCTTTTCTTTTTTTTTAAAAGACAAAAAGTGTACAGTTGGGTCTTTTACATCTACACCAGAATTATGATTCTGTCACAAGCTTTCAGATAAATGTCGTCCTCATGAGCATGACGAGGAACAGACCATCTGAAAGCTACAAAGGCTTTGTGAAAAGACACTTTGGTTTTGTCCATCGATTTGGAAGGTTTCTGATGCTCCCTCCTCTTCCTCACTCTGTTATTCTCCCTCTGTGGCGTCCCGTTAGCTCACTGTGATGATGATTAGATCACTTCCTGGAGAGAAGTTGGTTCTCCAGCTGCTCCAGACGAGCAGTCATCCCAGACAGTAGACAGGTGATTAAGGAATGATAATGATATAAAGGTATTCACTGTGAGTCTGCTCATAAATACATGCATGAACAAATGTCAAATATTTATTGGAAATTAAGACATCTTTTTTTGTTTTTGAAAAAAAGATGCTTTCAGGTAATTTTTGGTAGACCACATCTAGCACCGTTTACATGCTATGTTTTGTTTTGTTTTTTTCTTTTTGTCCTCAAATCTATTGTTGTCAAAGTGGACGCATGGTAGGCACGCTCAAAGTGAGAGCAATTCTGTCCCAGTGTGCAAACATTTCCAAGTGCCTATTTTCCAGAGTGCAATGGCTGTATTGTGAGATACACAAAGTTAAACTGTTGGAAGGCATCAGTGTGCACCGCATGTCATGTGAGAACGAACAACCAATTGTAGTCAGCAGATACCTTTCCCTTCTTTTGTAAGCATCATTCTGTCGTAAATATGAAGGAGAAATCGATCATTGCAGAATATCAGCAGCGTTATTCCTTAGTTTAGTTTCTTTATTTAGTTTTACCTGATTTTTATGTCACATTGTGGGACTTGGAACAGTTGTGGGAAAAATTTGGAACTAAAAAGATCTGTTTATACAAACAAATTGTTGTGCATTCGTTGCAGTACAAAGTAGCAAAGAGTGCAAATAAATCAAAATATAAACAACAAAGACTAACAAGGTGCAAAAATCAAATGTGCATGATGTAAGATATGTGAGTGTGCTAATGGACCTCTCGCTCTACAGACTCAAGTCTAAATCAGTCAAAAGACAGCCGTAACTAAAGCTGCAGTTTCACATCTGTTACATCCATTATCTTTGCCTTTAAATCATTTTTATATTACCACTGAATCCATGACTGTAATTCTGCAGGATCCTCATACCGTGAACACACAGAAGAATACCAACCAAATTTGGTGTATTTACTCTGGTGTCTTGTGGGGACTTTTCTTATTGCAGATCACGATGAGTAAGTGAGTCTTCTTCCCCTGTCACAGAGGCTTCTACACAATATTTATTTAATTTTGTTTTGGTTTCTTGTGTTTGGATAAAGATTTTTTTTTTAAAGGATATGTTTCTGTGTGAGCTGCTCCAGGCTGCTCATGGTGGCCTGCTGAAACTCCACCAGACTCTCACAGGCACACGGATCCTTCACCTCGATCTCCCCCTGACTCTCCTCTGCAAAGAAATAACGTCACAGACAAACAGTTTTACTTCAACTCTTTGTGACACTTCATACTTTCACCTCAACACATTTGTCTTTTGTTACTTACAGGAAAAACATATGATAGGCTCATAAAGCATGTTGCAGTTTAAATTGCCCTTATGAAACAACAAATTAAAACTCTAAATCACAGGCCTCTTTGTTTAATAAGGTAATATTATCATATTTTTGGTATTATGTTTTGTAATTGCTTCACACTGCTGTGCATTTTCTACTTCTGTCAGCAGATGGAGCCAGAGAACAAGACATCACAGTGACCTGCCAGCAGACACTTGGACAGGTTTCACATGAGTCTCATCTTTTACATTTTCCTTATGTTGAACAAAGTCTTTTGAAAATATTACAATTAATATTTTTTAACAATAATGTTTATGATACTGAAATAAAGCAAATTAAAAAGTACAATGTGACAAAAGAGTTGAAAGTAGACATTCCCCCTGTAGGTTGTATCATGGGCCTGTACAGTGTGCTGCATTACGGTTATATTTCTCCCATTTTATGCACCGAACCTCTTCAATTAATCATTTATTTTATAACCCATCATATTTTTTTTTTAATGCAAAGCAATTTCAGCCACCATATACAGTGAATATGTTTGAGTAAACATACAGTTTGTTAATCTGCAGTGAAGTAAAGGTTGTTACTTTACAACTGATTTTTCAATCAACTGTACACAGACATTAAGACAATGATCAGTGACCATTTGGGTGCTTTTAAATATGAAACAGCAGTCACTAAGATTTCCATCCCTGCTAAGCAGTGGAATATTTAGGAGTGTTGTATGTTTCCTCTTTTATATTGCTTGTTTAAAGCCCTATTCACATAGGACTAGTATTACCTGGTGACCTCTGGTCATTGTAATAATTGTAAAGGTTGTCTGAGATTTTAATCCTGTACCATCTGCCATGTCTGTAATTTGCCAAATAATATTTCTGCTGCAAATTACCTCCTATATTTCTCCAAACACAGGTTATGGGATGATATTCGTCCCATGTGAATCTGCATCTGGGTGATTTGGGGTCTTATTTAGGTTTTTTGTTTTCTGCGGGCCTCTTTTCTGCCTCTTCCCTGGTCGGAAATGGTGGAGGCTGATGTTGGCAACTGTAAATGACAGTTTTGACAGCCCTTTGGGTCGAAGAGGTTCATTTAGCTACACAGTGTGGAGACCCATTGGCAGAAAGAGCAAGCTTAAACCCATCCAAAGAGCCAAAATCTCAAAAGAGATGAGATTAGATGAGATGTGACAATTTGTGTCACATTCGGTTCTGCCTTTTTACCCCACTAAAAAAAGTGGTTAAAGGAGCAGTGTGTAGGATTTAGGGGGACTTCATGGTGAGCACTGCAACTAGCCGAAACTTCCTCTGGTTAGAATTCCTTCATTGTTCATTGTTCAGGAAGTTTTTTTCATCGGTAGCCAAATTATCCACAGAGGTCTCTTCCTCTCCAAAACAAACAGACCAGATGTTTGAAACGGATAAAACACTTGAATAAAGCAGTTAAATGTTACAAATCAGTGTTTGTTTGATGCTGTTTGGCACTTGGGACGGGCCCCGTCCCCAACACCTGCTCACCTTTGTTCTCTGATAACTTAAAAAACAGACGCTCAGGGTTTTTTACCAAGAGCTGAATTCCCTGCTGAGGCCTCCTCCTCTCCAAAACATATGTTTCACATTAAAAAAAAATCATCATCGCAGCTGGTCTTCTGACTACGGTTGCCAACGTGAAAACTTGAATGTCCCTGTCTAGAGACAGTGTTTCAGTAAATACAGCAAAATACAGACTTTGCTTATCCTGTGGAAATGTGCCGCATGAAACTCAGTGGTGGGGGGTCATTTTTAAATCACATGAGGTCCCCTGGTAACACCAGTCCTGTGCGAACAGGACTAAAGTCAGGTGTAGTATCTAGTACCTGGGCAGACGTTCAGTTTGAGGTTCTCAGCGATGGTGCTGATGGCCGTGAAGTCGGTGGTGTAATAGAAATGTTTCTCCACAGGCTCAGATGCAATTTCACGAAGCTCATCCTCCACAGCTTTTCCAACACCCACGGCGTACATGGTGATACCTGCGTACATGCACATAAACATACACGTCACAAACGTACTTTTGCAGGGACCGGACTCAGAGTATTACCCTAAAAATACAAACTGTAGCGCTGATTCGACCCTCACACCAGTTGAGTCTTACCGGCTTCTTTGGCTTTCTTGGCGTACTCTGTGATGTCGTCCTGCGAGCGTCCGTCTGTGAAGACCAGTCCAATTCGAGGGATGTTGCGGCTGGAAGGACGAGCGCCCTCCGCCTCTGAGAAGCTGTTCTCCAGCATGTGTTTCAGGGCCAGACCTGTCATAGTGCCTTTCTCCATGTAGTCAACCTAGACAAGGCCAAAACAGCAGTTCAAGTCCCAAGTGTCTGCTTTTATTATGGGCTCACACTAGAAAAGGACAAAGAAGCTGTTCCTGCTGGACGCCCATGAAATAAAAGTCTGTAGTATGTTTGTACCAAAATAATTGATTGATTTCATTTCAGAAATACTTATTAATACTTTCTGAACACCGGTAGCTGGTGATGCATCCGATAGTAGAATATAAAACTGAAGATCACTTGCAGGTGAAAACAGAGAAAAGCAACAACTTTACCTTCATGACTGCAGCTTTGATCTCGTCAGCAGTGTGGTACATGTTGAGAGGGAACTCTGTCCGGACACGGCTGGAGTACTGAACCAGACCGACTCTGGTGCCATGTGCAGACACATCCAGAGAGTCCACAACCTGGGGGCACAAGGCACAGATACTTGATCAGTGTACCTCCATGTTTACCTCGGCCAAGGAGATTGTGTTCAGCTTGGTTTGTGCATTTGTTTGTCAGTTTGTCAGCAGGATTACAGAAAAACTACTGACCAGATTTTCATGAAACTTGGTGAAAATTAAGCATTGGTCAACGAAGAAGTCATTAAATTTTGGAGTGGATCTGAATCACATGGCGAATCCACAGGTTTTTTTTTTATTTGCAATGTACGACAGTCGTAGTCTGGGTCTGGATTACACATGGCAGTCACCTCAGACGTCACAAGCAAAGGTGGAGGTGGCTCACGCTGGCAGCAGTGCTGACAAAGCTAAAGGTGTGATCATATGGCGGTGCTCATACAGGACAGTATGATGAATATTTGAGCTTTTGTTGACCAATTGTTTGTTACACAATTGGATTACCTTATTTTGATACCTGTTAAGCGATACCAGTTCTCTATCTGCCCCGGGAGCAGCTTGCCTACACAACCAATCAGCTGTTAGCTGTAAACAAACATCTGCTCTGTGTAGGAAATAATTATTCTTGCAGATAAATAACTAGATTTGAATGTGTTAAATTATATTCCGTTCTTTTGTCGTTGTTATTTTTGTAAAGTGCAATACACAATGACATCAAAATACTGTAGCTGTTATATGACGACATGACCCACCTGGTTTACAAACTTTTTGACCAGCTCAAAGTTTTGGGGGCGGACACTCTTGGAGCCGTCAATCAGAAGCACCAGGTCGATGTTGGCTGACTTACAGGCTGTAGGAGAGAGAGAGACGGAGGATAGATACTGACAATATACACAGTCATAAGTTTGCTTTTTTAAAATTCACCACAAGTATTTTTTTTATTGCACAGAAATAGCAAAATTATTTGAGGTACAGTAATACAGACACATGCATATTTGTCAGGTTCTCTGTACAGGATTGTACAGGATTCACATCGAATGTGTTTATGTTGTGTAGTGTTCATTATAAAGAAAATTCTAGTTTTGCACATGTTGTTATTAAACAGTCAGATCTTCAGTATCAGATTTCAGTTTAGCCTGAAAAATTAATTAGCTGTAGTCTTAATATGTGCATTTGAGGAAGTCAGTCATTCAGTCCAAAACTATGTTGGCAACACAAATACAGGATTCCCATGGTCATGAAATTCCTGGAAAATTTATGAAATTGGAAAAACAGTCTTCCAGATCTGGCAATGGTTTGGAATTAACAAAATGTTTTGGAAAAGTTTTGAGCATACAGTTTGTCTGTTGTTAAAAACAAAATACCAAATCATGTATAATGTTATGTGAAGTATGTTTCTTGTATTTCTATTTTAAAATCTAGTGCTGCTCTGCATGACATGAGGGCAATCAGTTTTAATTTATTAAGTTATCACGTACACTCAGGTTCAGACAAGGTTGCAAGACAATAATCAGACATGTCCATAAAACAAACATTTACTTAACAAGAAAGACACGCATACAAACTTGTCAAAATTATAATCTAAACACGTCAAAGTGCATTGACATCTTTAGGCTCTTGGTTCTGTATCCCCCAAAGAGGGGTGCAGCCTTGACGTTTTGTGAAGTACCCTTATGTACCCTGTCTAATGAGCGAGGAAAGTTAGCAAGTGCTACCAGTTTGCTCATCTGCAAATGCCTTGGAAGTGCTTGGAACGGCTGTATCACTAGATAGGCCAACCTACTCTAAACGACAGTACTTAAATAAAGTCATGGTAACAAGTATTAAATGGTAAAAATGTGTGGGAACCCTGTGTGACGATTTGTTGAGAAAAAAAGAACAGACTATTTTGTCTCAGCCTTATTTTTCCATTACTGCTGCTTTCTCTTTGGAAAATGAACGATATGTCCTCAGTATAACATATCAACTGACTGATAGATCTGTATTATGCAAATTTTCAGACATAACAAAATAAGACAAAAATTATATTTCGCTCACAGGTTCTCTGGTTACTATGAGAGTTGCCGTGGTGACAGAGGATGTGTTGCAGTTATCTGGAGCAGTTGGAGCAGTTGTCTCCAAGTATAAATCTTGGATGGATGATGAATGAGACCGTTTGCACGGCCACAAATCTTCAAATAGAGGATACTGGCAGGCTCAGTCTCCCCAGAGGAAAAGTAAACTCAAAAGAAGATCCCATCTTTGTCCAGCCAGGTCCTGCCAGACATAACTGAGCTGCTTTTAACATCAGCATGGGATTGGGTTTATTTTCACACAGATATTTCTCATCTCCAGAGAAATAACCTTCCTTCTCCTATTCTAATCCTAATCTCAGCTCTTGATGTTTTTCTCCTTTGCAGAGCTCATCTGAGTGATCGAAGACAAATGTGATGGGATTCAGAGGTCCTGCTCCACCTAAATACTTCACCTGCAACGCTTCTTTGGGTCCTGCAGGACCTGCAGGGTCTTCATGCCCCTGCAGCCCCCTGACTGCAGCACAGTGGTGAGTTGCTCCATTATTATATGAAGTTGTGTTTTAATGACTTTGAGTGATGAGTGTTATAATCAGGTCTGTGTTAGGAAGCAGTAAACCTGTCCATTATTGCGCACAGTGGTCATCAGTCTTGTACCTCCGTGTTTGCTCAGCCAGGTCAGATGATTTTATATGATACGGATTATTATCAGAGTAGACTTACTGCCGCAGCTCTTTCCGTCCTCCTGCAGCAGTTGTCCTTCAGGACAGATGCAGTAGTAAGATCCTGGAGTGCTCACACACTGGTGCTCACAGCCGTGCTCCACTGTGTTACACAGGTTCATGTCTGCAAATACACACAGATTACATATAAATTACACCTGCACAAATACATACTTTACATACATACATACATACAATACATACTTTATCATTGCCATTTTTATTTAATCTTTACTTAACACATGAGATAAATTCATTTGTGTACTGTTTTTTGTCACTGACAGGCTCAGATTATTACTCTAAGTAAATGACATTATGGAGAGGATTTCTACAAAGACAGACATTTATTAGATTCTTTTTGTATAAGCAGGAACAGCCCCTAAATCACCATCACCAAACACACCAGACTCCATTTAAATTAAGAGTAATTTTATCATCTTAAAGCAAACTTCATTCAGAGTGCACAAAAACAAAATAAAACTAACAGTAACCATCTTGGTTCGCTTTTGCACTCCTCCAACAATCACCAACTCTGGTTTGGTTGAAATAAATCCTCAGTTCAAGCAGTTTGGTGTGAAAATAAGTTGCCTCTATACACGCTAAATGGAATCTGGTGGGTTTGGTGATGGCGATTTTGGGGCTGAGTAAGGATCTTACTCTTTAACGAAAAGGTCTGCCTCTGTAGGGATCCTTTCCATAATGTTGTCAGACACTTAGAATAATTATCTGAGCCTGTCAGTGATGAAACCAACTACTTTTAGTAGATGTACGTTGATGACTCACAAATGGCCAGAATGGTTACATTGCAGCCTGTTTGGCCGCTGCCAGCTGCAGCGCTCTCTCTCAATACTGGGTCAGTTTCAAAAAGTGTTGTCTCCATTAGTCACTTAGATGCCAAAACATAGGAAAACAGGGTCCAGGTTGATTCTTGACAACAAACTGAAGCTGAGGTAAATCTTTAAGTCAGGGATAAAAGAGTGAGATCTCACATAAGATGAGCTGATGTAAAAACCCATGATATTAGTAAATGTTTTTGTGTGAGATTCACTGACCTGTGCAGGTCTTCTTGTCTTTGTTGAGTTTGAATCCTTTGTTGCAGTCGCAGGTGAAAACGCCGGGAGCGCTGATACAGATCTGCTCACAATCATGCTTTCCCTCGGCACACAGGTCAATGGCTGAATAACACACACACACACACACAAACACACACAAAGTTATTTCCACTTCTGTGTGTATGTTGTTTTACATGTCTTCAGGCACAAGTTCAGGTTTAGCTAGAGGATCATGTATTTATTAGAAAGTACAAGAAGAAGAAATATGCTACTGATCACCCAGAGAAAGACAGTTATGTGTTGCAGCTACACAAACAAAATATTCTACAGCTTAAATAATCTGTTCATTATTAAGTAGTTGTCTAAAGTGGTGTATATTAAAACTGCTTATTTACCCCTGAACAACAGTCCAAAGATCTGAAAAGATTTAACATATTACGACATGAAACATAAGCAGCAAGTCTTCACATTTAAGAAGCTTTGAGGCAGAAACTGTTTTGTGTTTTTACTGACATTACTAATGGAGACAGAACAGGCCTCACTCCTGCTGCAGGATAGATGCACAAACAGGAGTTTCCCTTCATTGTAACTGTGTGTGTTACTGTTGGTGTGTGTACAGCTGTGTGTGTGCGTGTGCACGAGGGCCTGACTAACGTGCGCAGGTCTTCTTGTCTTCATTGAGTGTGTATCCTTTGTTGCAGTCGCAGGTGAAGACGCCCGGTGCGCTGACGCAGATTTGTTCACAGTCATGTTTCCCCTCAGCACACAGGTCAATGGCTAAATAACACACACACATTAAGTTAAAGTGTGTGTGTTTCTGTGCATTTATTTACACACATACTCACTCTTAAAATGAGCCAGTAGCCGGTATTTCAGTTTGTGGAGGGTTATGTGTTTCCACTGAAATCATGCATGTGGGTAAGCGGCTCTGTCAGGCAGGTTTTACTGTATAAAATCTGATCCTCACCTCCATTACGCCAGCGGCAGACAACACTGTGTGTTTTTATCTGTGTCATCAACAGTGACCATGAGTTGTGTCTCACATGTGTGTTACTCACCCTGGCAGGTCTTGCCGTCGTCCAGCAGCCTGTAGCCCTCGTTACAGCGGCAGTGATAGCCATTGAGCACACTCACACACTCATGATCACAACTGTGGTTCCCAAACGAACAGTAGTCGATCACTGAGGGGAGGAAAGCAGCGAGGCCATAAGCAGCAGAGCGAACAGCAGCAACATGTGTGGGATTGCATCAGTGTTCCCTTTGTCTCATTATAAATCTTACCTTAAACAAATCAAGACTACCACTGAAATAATATGTTGAGTTCTGCTCCTTAAAGGGATAGTTCTGATCTTCTGCAATGGGGTTGTACAGGTTTCTTTTCCATAGTTGATGTATTATCTACAGTGGATGACAGTCGGCACGCCCCCAGCTTGGAGAGGTAAGCAGCAACGTCCAATGTGGAAGTTGTTAATAGCTTCAGTTCACCATCTTTGAGCTTGTCAAAGCCTCCAGACTCCATTGAGAAAAACAGTATTTTTAGCTTGCTGAACACAGGAGCTGCTGGTCTACCGCTGTCTCGATGGGTAGTTTATTTGTGTTATTGTGTGACTTTGGTGAATCTGAACTAACTTGTTTTAAACGCCAAAGTCGCACAATAACACAAACAAATTGACTCATAGAGGCATCAGTAGACCAGCAACTTCTGTGTTCAGCCATGTTAAATCACTGATTTTCTCAATGAAGTCTGGCTTTTAGGAAAGTGATGTAACTGCTTCAGTTCTCCATCGTAAATCACTGTCTGATGCCAAGATAAAGCAATGAAAGTATTCTAAATATGGCAAACGCTAAAACTCCACAGTAGCACATTGCTTAGTTTCTGTGTCTGTACTCCTGCCTGCATCTCCAAACTGGGGATGTGCTGACCGCCATCTACTGTAGATAATACACTGACTACAGATAACTTATTCATATAGTTCCACTTATATCTGAACTATGTCTTTAAGGTGATATATGTTGTTAGAGCAGCATGACACATTGTCTTTCAAAGCCCAAAATTACAACAAAAGTTATGGTTGAATGCAAATCAGGTTTTAAATATTTAAGATTTATGATTTACGAGTATAGCTTTTTTTTGTTTGTTTATCACATATCTTAGTGTTTTTATTTAACAGCTTTCTTGTAAAAGAAGGATCTCAAGCCAGGACGTGCTGAAATATAAATTATTTAAGTAAAAGGACTTCTTTTATTGAGACAAAGGGAGGAACATGGTGCAAACCCAAAGTCAGCTTCATGAATCAGCAGAGAAATCATGAATCAGCAGTTTGTGAAGCTCAGAATCCATTTCAGCATGAACGAACATGAATTCAAGGCAAACACACTTCTTAATGTAAAGCCAGGAGCTATCAGCAGATGTTATCACGTGTGTGTTGTGTGAAATGATACTAAATACATGTGTTGTATCATAGTTTCTACATGTGTTTTCTACATGTGTGTTTGTGTGTATGTGAGACTAACTTGAGCAGGTCTTCTTGTCGTCATTCAGTTTGTATCCTTTGTTGCAGTCGCAGGTGAATGAACCAGGAGAGCTGACGCAGATCTGTTCACAGTCGTGTTTCCCCTCAGCACACAGATTAATGGCTGAAACACACAAACACACACACGCCAGTTATTTATTGAGTAACTGCATTTTCATTCATTGTGGATTAATGAATAATTTCACCTTTTGCGTTCAAGCATCTTAAGCACTGGTTGAGTTAATAAAACCTTGGTGTCTTTTCTCTCACGATAAATTTAACTTTCATGTCAGGCGACATTTATACTGGTAGGAGTGTTGAAAGTCTTCCTCTCTTTGAATGTTTCTCTGAGCCTTTTAACCAAATTAACACTCTGTTTTTAAACAGAGGTTTTCAGACCGAGATAGACATGAGGTAATGATACTGTGTGAGGTGAAAGGAGCCGGCACATGCTTGTGTTCTGAAAACAACAGGAAGGTAATTATTGAGGTTTGGCCTACTTACCAACACAGTCAGCAGTGACTGAGACACACAGCTTATGGAGGAACTCAAGGTAATTAACCCTTACCACACAATAGCCACAATTTGAGTCAAACATCTTACTCCTTCTCAGAGAGGCATGTTCTTCCTCCATATGACTGCAGAACTTAACTGAGAATCATCACAGTTTGATGTTTTCTTCCATATCAAAGTAAACCAGTGACAGCTGTCTGTACATTCAAGGCTATACTGCAAACAGGAACTGCTAATAGCTAATTTGGCATACTTTTAATGGAGCTAAAACACAAACAAATTCAGGCAAAAAAAAGTCTTAAGGTGTCTTTGAAAACCTCCGGTCTAAAGCACATTGCGCCTCTAATGTAGAATAAACATGTTTCCAGTAAGTGTGTCAACCTAATTGTCCATATTGTTGATTTTATTTCTTGTGTGTGACCTTTTTTTTTTGTTACCTGCACATGTTTTCCCGTCATCATTCAGAGTGTATCCAGGCAGACAGAGGCAGTGGTAGGAGCCTGGGGAGCTCTCACAGATGTGCTCACAGCCGTGGTCCGACTCCAGACACAGATCCACACCTACAGCAGAGATGATATCCACTTCAGTAGCCAAAATAAGTATCAGCTGGAGGGTCATTATCAGTATTAAGGGTCCTACATGAACACACAAGTCTTTCATGAACACATTCTCACTGATTGATGTAGGCTGAGTTGGGAAAAAGGTGAGGTGTTTTACTTCTGTTGTAGCTCTGTACGACTTTGATTGTTTCTTCTAGCTTGTTTTTTATTCCACTCATTCTTCTTCCCTCTCAAATCTGGTGCCTACATTACCCACAATTCCACTTGACCACCAACATTTGGGTCAGAGATTCAGGTGTGTCATGCTAACAGCAGCTACTGTATCCTGGAGCCTCTGGCCTGCAGCAGAGATGAGCAGAAGGCTGCAGCGGTCTGGTAAACTCACTTCTCTCTGACTCCACACCTAACATCTGTATACACACTTTAATGTGTAAGAAGGTTTCCCTTTAATGTTCTAGAGATGTACTTAATTAGATTTGATTTGAAACTACGTTTTTAGGGACTTTACCAACATCAACTTCTTTGCACCACATCTACCAAGTGCTTAGAGGGAGTTACCCATGCTAATAGTTTTCTTATGATCAAATGGGATTCATCTGGAACATTATCAGAACACATCTGGATCGGTAAGAATATTTGGTGCAAATCTCAAGTTGACTTCTTTGATTTTTTCTCTCAACAAAAAATTAAGACCAAGTTTAAGATATTTAAGAGAATGTTGCTGTATGAGGCCCCTTATTCTTTGTGTATTCATTCACTGTTTTAAACTTTGTCAGCTTTTGTTCTCCCTTTCCATCTCCCACTGAGGAAAACCAAAGATTTTTTTTACATCAGTCTACATTAATAGCAGCAGGGGAAATATCTTGCACTTAAAGGATTTATGTATGCTGTTATGAAAAAGTATTAGGCTCTGTGGGGTTAGATGGGCATGGTGATTTTTTCTATTCAGACTAGACATTCACTGTGTTTTTAAAGACAAAGAATCAGGTGTTGCCCCAGATGAAGCCAACAGTATGAAATTTAAATTCCAGAGACATGGCTGCAGGTTTTTACGTGTCTTATGTTGAGGTGGCTTCAAATAAAAGTAATCCATCAGTGGCATTAAGGTCTTTACTGGTTTCAGACTTCAGATTTTACAAAAATGTGATGTCAAATCCATAAAGCATTACTCCTCTCCTAGGGCAGGTATTTAATTTATGAGATGTATTTTAATCTGTAACGAATATGGTCTTGGGAGAGTAAGGATTTATGTTTCAATAAAATTTCCAGTCAAATTAATTTTGTGAAAATGTTTTGCTCATCTCACATTTTGTACTGACATAAAACTCTGCACTTTCTGAAAAGAATTAATGTAACAAAACCTGAAATTATACAACTCATCCAAACCAAGTCAGAGTGAAACCTCATTTGATTTTGACATGAATGACTGGTTTGTCTTACAGTAAACCAACCGTCTTCAAAGATCCTCTCGTGATTGAAAAATGGTTTCGGCAAATATGTTAATGACACGTAATGTGTACTTTGGATTTTTTACAGACAGTGGGGTTCCTTCTAGTCTTACCACAGAGCTTGTCCTGGAACTGCAGACCGAACTGGTGAATGAGGTCGAAGGACTCCACCAGAAAGACGTGGTCTTCAAAAGGTGGTGATGCCATCGCCCTCAGTGATGCCATATCAGCTCTGGCCACCCCCACAGCGTAAATCTCAATGCCTTTCTCTCTGGCCTCAGCTGCCACCTCCGCCACACGGTCCTGAGGACGCCCGTCCGTCACGATCACAGCGACGTTGGGGACCTGAAGGAGAGACAACAGGATCAGAGCTCAGGTAATGTAGGGAGGACATGGTGTTGTGTTACATTCATGGAAAACTGTTTCAAAGGATCACAAAACTACGACAAGGACAAACACTTTAAAACTGTGACAAATTAAAATATACATTTTTTGCTTCATATCTAAATGTGTGTTGCTGAAGGATGTCAGATCAGCATCAACTCTGCTTCACTCCACCTAATCACTTTGTTTAACAAATTAAATGTAATGTGATTTAAAGATGTATGGCAGTGTGTACGCAGTCAGATGCAGAGTCTAAAATAAATACATGAAAAGACAGAAATGTAGTAAAACTATGAACCAAAACCAGTAACTTGTGTTTCACTACCTTTGGCCTGTCACCCGCCTCCGCCGTGAAAGCCACATTCATCACATATCTGATGGCGAGTCCGGTCATGGTACCCTGAGCGAGGGGGATGATCTGATTGATGCCTTTCACCATGGTGTCCAGCTTGGCGTGTGTCTTCAGAGAGAACTCACTGCGGACCTGAAGACAAGAGGAGCGAGACAACATTACATCCAAATCCACTTTTCATATTCATCAAGGCAGAGACGAAGTATCATCCTCACCTTCATCATCAGACTTCACTGAACTACATCATTGGAAGATTAAATAAAGAATACAACATGTATGAAGATCTGGATGTGGTGTGTCTGCAGTACCTGGCTGGAGTACTGAACCACTCCCACTCTGGTGGCATTGAGTCCGATGTCCAGGGTGTTAAGGATGTCGATCATGAACTTCCTCATGGTCTCAAACTCGTGTGGCCTGACGCTGCGAGAGCTGTCGATGAGGAAGACCAGATCCACTGGACCAGACTTACATTTCTGCTCCGGACCTGACACAAGGAATAAAAATATTCAATTTAGAGTAATGAAATCGAAAAAAATCTAATTTTCATCTCAGTTTCTAATCGAGGAGAAGACTGAGGTAGAATACAATGTAAGAAGAAGAACTGAAGAAAACAATTAAGATGTTCAACCAGTTGATCCCCATAGTTGTTTTTGCCTAATTTAAAGCTGTAGCTGATGAGTTTTATAAAAATGATTTTTGTCTTTTGTGCTGAAACTGTCACTCTATTCACGCAGCACTAAATGAGACAGATAATCTGTGGAAAAAATAGATTCCACTGCCTACTTTATGGCCGTGTAGCACGAGTTATGGCCTTACTGCACATGAACAAAAACAACCAGTCAGAGCCAAGGAGTCTCTAACACAGCTGTCAATCATGTTAGTCACTGCTCATGAACTGCGGTCAAACTAGGCAGCACTGATCAAATATGAATCAAGATTCTGTCATTGCATTGCCTGTTTCTCACCTCAAATATTTTCAGAAACATATTTTAGTGTACTGTTTAGCTGTAAAACAAGAGTTTTGACCCAGCTGCCATGTTGGATACACTGAAATGAGAGTATTTAGCACCGCCCACCAGCTGGACCAACTTTCTCATCAACATTCTCAGTTCACATCTTTGAATCAGTAGATGCATTTTTTTGAGCATCACAACCCCTGCAAAATGACTCATTTCACTATCCACATTTAACCCATTTGTTCTGATAACAGTTGGAAGGTCTAGAAGAGCAGTGGGATTAAACAATTTTGTCCCCATTCAAGTTAACGGAGCCCTTAACTGGAAGTAGCTGGCTTGGTCTGTGGAAGTCTTGAATACGCCTGCTCTATGGGCTGCACAGTGCAGAAGAAGTGCCAGTTTTATATGCAATAGCTGGACTATTACGGCTTCATGCCCCATAGAGCAATTCTCATACGAATGACCTGGGCCCTGCCTCTAATGCTGTATCCAGTTCTCTTTATACATCCATACAACACACACACTGTTGTTTATTTTGACTCAATCCCACACAGACTGTCCTTCATTCATTTTCCATAACTGCTTATCCTGTTTAGGGTCGCGGGGGGGCTGGAGCCTATCCCAGCTGACATTGGGTGAGAGGCAGGGTTCACCCTGGACAGGTCACCAGACTATCACAGGGCTGACACATAGAGACAGACAACCATTCACACTCACATTCACACCTACGAACAATTTAGAGTCACCAATTAACCTGCATGTCTTTGGACTGTGGGAGGAAGCTGGAGCACCTGGAGGAAACCCACGCTGACACAGGGAGAAAACTCCACATAGAGGGGCTCCTCACCCTGGGTTGACCAGCCACCATGGGTTTGAACAGAAAACAGTCTTGCTGTGAGGCGACAATTCTAACCACTGCACCACCATGTCGCCTCACACGCACACACTCTCCGGCTGTCACAAATACTCACTACAGAACAAAATATGGATTAATCCACTGCTGAAAATAGTCCCTAAGAGCTAAGCACTATTTTCTCCTGTTTGTTTGATAAAAACTACAGTGAGCAGCTGTTTTAGGAAATTACTGAGACTTTTTTAAACATGATAATATATATTTGTGTTTTTAAAGACACACATCTTTTGTGGGAATCAATGGGTTTGTAGCTGAGAGCCACAGACAGAGTGGGACTAACACACACTGTTGGTTCAGCTCTTTTCATGGGACTTTATACAATAAGTTAACACAGAATAACTCTAGCTGAAGTGTCTTTATAATTAATGTGTGACACTTTTACTTTGTGAACAAGGTGTCACCTACTTAACACAGAATACTATAATGTGGGAGAGACATTGTTTTTGCATGTGAATGTTTCAAATGTCTGTGACCTCAAAAGTATGTGTGTGTGGTTTTCAGTTTTACAATTCTCTGGAATGAAGCAGCAGTTCAGGCCTTTGCTCACCAGTGTAACTTTCACATTATTTACCATCTGAACTCAGTCCTCCATGACTTCAGGCACCTGTTTTTGTCTTTAATTTTTCAACATCACTGTGAACACACTCCCGTGCTGTAACATCATCTCGGTTCAAAAACACAGGAGTCATGGATGAGGTATGAGGCGAGTCTGTGTTTTCTGTGTGGCTTCATGAGTCAAGAAGGAATTGTTTGATTCATGCACTTCCAGGATTTCTTCACAAAGGCTTCAACTGAAAGTCACAGTACAGGAGACTGGGTGTCAGTAAGAGCAGACATGTGGGATTGTTGTGGAATCTGTCTTTAGTTTCAAACTGATGAGCAGCGGCTGGTTTTTAATATCTTATAAATATGTCAGACTCATTGTCTGGCCATATTTATCAAGTCAACCTTCAGCTGCAGATACAATGTAAACAATGTCGAAGTGTACAAGTCTGATATGTCCCCAAACATTAGTGCCTTTAGGTGAAGTCATGACTGAGCTGCTTATGAGAAGAGTCCTGCTCAGTAAACACCAGGGAGGCTTTCACAACTTAGAAGTTAAGTTTCTGACAGCTTGTGATGTCGGCTGATGTTTTATTAAATGTCTACACCCAAGGAAGATGCTTTTAACTCTTTTTTTTTTTTTTTTTTTTGGTTTTTGTTGCCATGTATTTCTTTGTTCTAAAACTGAGGTCCCACTGCAGAGCTCCACTCTCAGGCCCAACTCCATTGCCAGGACCCATTATGGAAAATCACATTTATCCTGCTTTCTTATCGATAACTAAAGCTTACATACTACTGTATTAGACTGCACAGGGCATTGTTTTATCCCGCTTATCAATAATAAAGTAGCCTACTGATCATATATTTAATACGGAGCATCACATCCATGACAGTGTATAAGTAGGCCTATTATAAGTTGACTGATTAGATTTGTTTTCACACTTAGGCTACATATGTTTAGCTTGTGGTGCTTGATGTTAATGAAAAAATGTATCATCAAGTTATCAAGTTTAGAGGATGATCATTAGGACATATAAGCATGTGTTCATTAGTTTGAATAAGCCACTCACACTTGACTAATAACACCAAGGTAAACAATAAAGCCTCAACTTTCGATATAACTATAACTGGAAAAAGTTAACATAACGCTAAGCAGCAAATTACTTGTCTGAGCCTAATGGGTTTGCTAACGTTAGCTATTTGTGCTGTTGTTGTTAGCAAATCAACATCATTTCAGCTAACGTAAACATTATTTTGCTAACAACATTAGCATAGCTAGCTAACGTTAGCGAACACTAATGTAATTTTGAGTTAACGTTAAAGTTAGTTGGCCCACAACATTACCATAGCTAGCTCCCTGCTAGCACAGGACATTGTTAGACGTTGAAATTATTTTTAATTAATATTGTGATGTCAGGTGACCAAAATTCAATGTCAGAGCAACATCTAATGCCATCCTCGATTTAATGTAGAACGCTGATGACAGATGATATTTTGTTGGTTTTAAGTTGTGTTGTTAGTAACCAAAATCCATTATCTTACAGACGTCACATGCCAACCTCATCTTTCTTACATCATATTGTCATCCTACACTACCTGGATATGTTAGCAATAAGTTTATTTCAAGTTATTTGCTGCTAACGTTATGTTACCTAAACTTTATACCTGTATAAGTTACAGTTCGAAATATTAAGGTTGTATTATTTACCTTGGTGTTTTGGGCGGAGGTCATGTGGCTTATTCAAACAAATAAACACGTACCACCATATCCTGATGATTGTCCCTGGTGAGTGTACACATTTTAAAACTTCCTCCTCAAGCTTGAGACCAGAAAGGATCTGACTGAGGTGATGGGCCTGAGCCTGGAGCTCTGCAGCTAGACTCTCTCCACAATAAAGAAGGAAAAGTCCCTTTCTCTCAGTTGCCTCGTGAAACAGTGTTCTCACAACTCAAGCCACTTACTGCCAGATATATTGTGTGCTCAGTTTCATCTGTTCCATTGGAAGGAGGCACATGTCCCCATGTTGAGGAAGCTAATAAAAAACAGTCTTTCTTTTGTCTTCATGTTTTTTTTCTCTCACTGTATCAGCAGACTGACCTGCTTTCGGCCTGGCGGTGGCGAGGACAGTCAGGGTCAGCAGAATGAAGCCACACAGAGCTCCCGGCTGTCTCATCTTCATCCTGATGATACTGATCTAACAGACAGGTCGCTCACAGCTGGACTCTGGAGCTGGATCAAACTGTGGTGGGTGAGATAGAAAGGAAGCAGACAGAAATGCAAAAGAGGTTATTTGTGGGAACATGAGAGGACCTGAGTTGATGGTGCCCTTTGGAAAGTCAGAATTATTTCAGCTTTATGGCTGACTTTCACAAATGTAATGATGTGTCAAAGTAACAGACAGATCCCGACGTCAAGGTCAGAAATGGACCGAATGTGGTTTAAAAGTGATTTTTCATTAGACACCTAGGTTACAAATAGTTGTTGTTTTAACAGTTTTTAATGACTGTTTGAAACATGTTATGACCACATGTTTCATGTTAAGTGTCATCTTTGTGTTATTGTGTTGTCTGTGTTAGTTTACTTTCACAGGTTGGAGTGAACGTAAGAAACAGCTGAACTTGTGTGTGCTTAAAAGGAGGTGCAAACACAGAAATGTGTTTTGGGTTCCACCTCAGTCGAGAAACAGATCCATGAGAGGTAAAAATCTTAAAGTTTTTCTTGTTTCCAGTTCACATCGCGTTTAATGTGACCCTCTAACCTTTATTTTTTTTTTACTTAAGCTATTTGCAAGATGCTATTAATCTTCAATGTTAGGAACAATAGTATAAAAGTTTCGAAACCACTATATTTCCAATAATGTACGGCCAGAAGCAGTAAACTGGCGTCTGTCCCCTACCCCCAAATGACGGGTCAGAAAACGTTTGTTTCGTGTCATTCATGATAGATTTTTTATTTGTGTGTGGAGGACTTGTTGGGAGTCTGAGGCTGAGAAATGACATGGAGCACAGAATTTGTTAAACATTAACCAAGACTGTTGAAAGGTCGTGTTATCATGCATTTAAAAAGATTTACCTGATGTGGCCAGAACAACACAAAGGAACCTTAGAATACCTCATATTTTAACTCCTCCAGTTTTGGTTCCATGTTTTTCCCTGTGAGCTTCACATGACGGCACAAATCTGTTCTGATTTGTGCCGTCATGTGAAGCTCAATCTGTTCTGAATTTACTGTTGTTTCTACTCTCTCTAATCGCTCGTCTGTGATGAGTGTAGCAGCTCCAGTAAATTCCTGCCCTTTGTGTGTTTGTAAAGTGATTATAATGTCGATGATGGGGCATGCAGCAGAGGGACATTCCAGTCCTGCCCCATTGTAAAACACTCGGCTGCAAACACCTGGAGAAGGTGCACAGTAACTCCTGCTAATAGAAGGCTGCAGATAAAAACACACATGGTTCTTAATCTGCCCATGTGTCTGTCAGTATCCCTGTAGGCTGTCAGCTCCAGCAGCAGCAGCAGCAGCAGCAGCACGGGGATAATGATAATGTCTGGGAAGTGTTTACATTCAGGGCACACGGTCAATTCAAACAGTTACAGTGAAAGCCCCCTCTCTCCCTCTGGTCCACAGAGAAGGGTCCTTCAGGGGTTTATCGCTGTCTGAGTGGCAGCCAGAGCCTGTGGTCATCGCTGGCTCAGGTTTGAGTCATGAGTCAACACATGTAGCCAAGCACAAAGGCTCTTTTCTTTATTTATGTCTCTGTTTGTCTCGTTGTCTTTATTCGTGGCTCTCGCTTTGTCGCTCACTGCCCACTTTCTCTCATCATCTCACTGTCATCCTCATATTTTCATCTCTTCATCTCTATATCTCTGTCGTGGTCGGAAGGTCAGCCAAACATTTGGAGCACATTATTATTGTTACTGCGGTAATGCCTTCTACATTCTGACAGTGGCATGGACAGAATGAATTGTCCACATTCTTAAAGGGGACCTTTCATGCTCATTTTCAAGCTTGTACTTGTATTTTAGGTTTCAACTAGAACACGTTTACATGTTTTAGTGTCTGAGATGCTCCATTTTAGCCTCTTCCACCCCCACCCCCTGTTAGATTATCGGCTGTGAGGGTCCAAGGACAGAGGAATGTCGCATGCTGTAAAGCCCTCTGAGGCAAACTGTGATTAGTGATATTGGGCTTTATAAATAAAACTGAATTAAGTTGAACTCTCTTAAAGGTACCAATCAACGACACAAGTCCTTAGAAATGGGTATTGTTTTCCTGTGGTGTGGCACGTTCAGCATGTGCTCCTCTCATGTGTCTTATGTCCCATTTTACTAGCAGTTCAATTATCAATCCATCAATCAAATTTGCAGACCTTTAGGGATTACCAAAAGAGATTTGTGTTTTTTTCCATTCATCACATTTGATTGCCCCCGCTTTGCAGTTGTACCACTCTGTTTTGCCTGATGTGCCGTGCCAAGGCATTTTTTAAGCGGTCACACCTGTAGTGACGCATCTCGGTGTGAGTGGGGCATGAGTCCTGAAAAAGCATGTCACAGTGTCTCTGTACCATAACTGCAGCCGGGGAATAAATATAATGGAGAATAGCGGCTCTTTCTATGGTCAGAATTTGCCAATTAAAGTTTCTAATCCAAAATCTTTGCAACCCGACATGTTCCAGCAGGAATATGATCCGAAAATGTGGAGAAATTAGCAACATCATCAACCAAGATTTTGTGTTTCCCTGACGTTAACATGTAGCTACATGTAGCAGTGTATGTAATGTAAACACTTGCAGTAGCAGGAGAAAATGACCATATATAAATATATATATGAGCTGGAAAATGTTGGAAATATAGGTTTATCTCATATTTGAAACTTAATCAGACCTTATATATATATATATATATATATATAGATATACACATATAAAACAGAAAATAAGACAAAAACATTATAGGTCCCATTTAAGTTTAGTCACAGATCCCATATAACATCCATTCTTTATTCCTCCAACTCACTTGCCTGCTGGAAATCTTTCATGTGAAACTAAAACAAAAGGTAACTGTTTGTGTTTTGGCCGTCATCCCCGCCCATCAGACCAGGTGGATATGTTGAACTGTTTTATATCATTTTAATATGTTCAACTCATATACCATTGTTGGATGTCCTGTGGTATCGTGTGTACTCTGTGTGCATGTTTGTATGTTTTTCTCATTACCTCCAGCAAGGGGGTCATATTTTTTGGGGGGAAGCAGGATATCCCAAAACCTACTTAACAGAAAAAAAAGGCTGGGCCACAAAACCATTTCTTCTTAATACTGTGATACAGGATCTTTTTTAAAACAAACAAACTTAAAAAGCTAATACATACCTCATCTTTTACATCTATTTTTCTTGAATCTATTACAGGATCTAACATGAACCCTGAATCATTTACTAGCTTTAATCTAGCCATTACTTAAACATACACTGTTAGTACAGGATCAGTACTATGGTGGAACAGATTTGATTTGTCCTGTGCTTAAAATGAAACCTGAGACATAAAGTTTTAAATCAATGAAAAAAAACAATAATAATGTCATTCCTCGACATTAAAACTCGGACCAACCAGCAGCATTGCGTTTTGAAACAAAGTCCACATTCTGCAAAGTCTAAAACTAATTCTCAGAAGGAAAAAATGCACAGAGGCCTACACACACACTCACATGCCAAAAGATGTCATAGGCAGCCTGTTTAATGTCAGATGTAAATGAGAGTGGGAAGACAGAAGGGAAGGAGTGGGAGGAAGAGACGAGATGAGTGAACCTGGTGATGAAAGGTTTGATACAAGGCTGGTGAATTTATCAGCTCGTCTTACGATGAAATGGTCACCACAGCGGAGACACAAAAAAAATGTTGCTTTAGGCAAACAAACCTCACTTGGTTGTGGTTAGAAAAAAAACATGTTTGGCTTAAAATAGCGCGTTAACAGTGAGGCAAGAAAAGTGAGGCAAGAAAAGCAGCAGTGTCTTGATAAAAAAACAACTGCTCTTTGTGCCTAAAATGCCACTAAAAAAACGGTGACTGGTCGCTACAAAACACCCACATTTGATGCCTAAAAAGTTGCTGGAAACACAGCAATGACTCGCTAAATCACTTGTTTTGTAGTTTGTTGGTCTTGAACGGTGGTCTGCAGCTTGGCAGCCATCTCGCCTAGGTGTTACGCCATCCACCATCCCCTCCACCTCCAGATGACAAAGTCAGCTCATATGTTACCTCACTAGAAATGCTGATATATGTATGAAATGTACAAATGTAACATATTTGTGGTTTGTAGAAATGTACAATGCCAATATTTTCCTCTGGTGATTGGGCTGGATCTTTCCCAGAATGTTGCCACAGACACCCTGTTTGTAATGCTTCAGATGCAAGGGCTTTCATCAGTGGGCCTCAAGTCACTGCTGTGTTACCTCATTCGGTGACAGGTAATGACTTAACAGACATTTATTTAAATGAAAACCTTTGAGCTTATTACTTTACTGCCAACTGTCTAATAACAGCACAAAATATATTCAACATTTTTAGAAAACCTAACCTAAACATAATGAAAACAACATCAAGAGAAAAATGCAAACACATAGGGCTATAAATAAACTTTAATTAGGCTGAGAATGAGATATTTTTCATGTACTGCATGTCATGCAAGACTTAATGTTGCAACCACAACAAGACTGTAAAGCCGTGTTCGAGATGATGACGTTCTGTCAGTTGTTAGCAACCATCTTATTTTAAGACAAATAAAAATTTAAAGATTCACGGTGGGGTATTTACTGAAGTGTTTTATGTTGTGGAACAAAACGTAAAAGTCTCTTAAGCTTGTCTTAACCACAGACCTTATTTCAGGCATCTAACCTAAAACACATTCACAAAAACCCATTGACTTCAAGTCGCCGGAACCAAGAGTGCTAAGTGCTAATTCATTTCTGGGTTTTAAGACTCAGTACTGCAGCGCTCTTTCGGTGACTGAGCTGTATTTATTAAGATATTGTCCGTCATGTCTTTACACTGTGATTTCATAGGACACTAATAGAGACATATACTGTAAAGGAGAAAGATGATGCACTTAAGCTTATCTGAAAACACAGAGGAGAGTTTTCAAGCTATCAACCAATTTCAGAGTTTGTGCTCGATCCAAGTCTTGTAGGACTGTGTGTTTGTGTGTGTTATGTGTGTGTATGTATATGTGTAGGACAAAGAACCCTCAGT